CAAACCCAGATAGAGTGGCCTTAAAGGGAGAGCCCTTTACATATGATATTTGCTGGAAATGTTTATTTTCTGAGTCTTTTAATAGAGCAAAAACCTTCAACTTTACTGCTGTTTTTATTTTAAGAATAAAAGAAGCCTGGCTTTAGCGTGTCTAATACAGGATGGTGTTGGTTATTACTTGTACAGTTGAGATACAGCAATTGTGTGGAAGAACGGAGGCTTGGGTTGTTGAACCTGGAAATGGGATTGTCAGAGGGGACAAAGTTCATGAAGTAGATGGATGCAGACTTAGTAGTAAGAATTCTTTGTAGTTCCTCTCATTTCCTTTCCAGGCAGAGGAAAAGTTTATCTCGGGAGACTGGGAATTGGGAAGCCCAATTGTGCTTCTCAGAACAGTTTCCTTTCAGAGATGCACACTCTCAGGCAAGCACTGTGTCCTGAGCTAGGCAAGAATGTGCATCTTGGTCCTCTGTTAGTACTACAAGGCCTAATACAGTCTGTTCTCATAGTGGAGGCTCTCAGGAACAGATCTTACTTCAAACTGATTTTAATGAAACAGATTTCTTATAAATAAACTCTGTAACTTTCAAAACAAACACATTTAATTCTACAGAAGTAGAACAGTAGGAATTGTTTTGCAGTGCTGGCCCCAGGCCATCCTGACAAGACTGCAGCTTCAGATCAGGATGCTCATGCATGCTCTTGTCAAAATGTACACGGAGCAGCCCATGGGCAGGTCTTGTCTCTGCTCTGCACAGCTCATGCTGTGGTGGGGACTAACTGGGCTACTCTGCTTCTATCACTTGAGTCCTTAATGGCAGCTTAAGGAGTTAGGCAGCTTCCAACTATACCAGTTGTCCTGGGTTCAGCCCTGGTAGCTTGACTTATCTGTTTGGAAGGGGATAGAAGCATCTGGTGCTGTGGGAACATCAGCCAACATTTCGGACATCCCAGATAATGTGAATAATGGAGAAGCTGTAGTTTTAAGGCAGGAGCTGGCCTAGGGCCTCCCTCTCCAAATCTGTCACCCGAATTACACTTACGGGCAAGCTTGGAGTCAGGACAGCCCCTGCCTTCTGTGCTTTCTGGGGGAAGAGGCTAGAGCTGTAACACTCCTTGTTTGGATTTAATGGTCTAAAAGAGCAGAGATCATTTCTCCTCTTTGTGAAGAGAGGCCTGCTTACAAACAACCTGCATGGCATCAGGTTTCCTTACAACCAGCTTTAACCAAGTGTCAGTGCCAGGCTTATGTTGGGGAGCAGAAAGAACCAGCTCTCCTCCATCCTCCTGTGTGCTTCTGCACCTATCACACAGCTAAAGAAAAACAGAACATGGAGGTGAATGGCAGGACACAAGCACAGGAAGGAACAAGTTACAGGCATAAGGTACCTCTTCAAGTTTTAAGTTTAAATCGGGGACCAGTCCCCTCAGCAATACTATCTGAGGTTGTGGCCAGACACTAGTTGGGAGGCTGTGATCCCTGCACATCAGCTTCCATGTTCTGCTGCTCGCTCTGCTGCTGGAACTCCAGACGTGTCTGGCGGTTGGACTCCAGCAGCTCTTTCAAGCAGGCATGTAGATAATCGTTCTTCTCCTCCAGGTGATCCAAGCAGGAGTTGATCTGGTCCAGCATGGAGTTTATTGCTGCGTATTCTAAAAGGAAGGGAAATGAGAGACTGAACAATGTAAGTATATTGTCACTGCAGCCAGGGACAGCAGCAAGAGCTTCGCAAAACACACCCGCAGCGTTCTGGCTCTGCCTTATCTGCCACCGCGGGGGTGAAGTAAAATGCAACTGAATCCTGTGTGTGTGGTTTTCCCTGATCAAACGGGCAGCTGGAGACTGGTACCACGGTCTGAGGCAACGTACCTGGGCAGCCCAGACCCACGGCTGGTGTACGCAGCAGCCTCTGATCTCACACATAAAAAGCTGAGTGCTAGCGTGCAGCGATCCACACTGCAACAGCACCAAGTAAACCCCACGTGAGGCTTTTTAGCTGCCTTAGGGATCATCTTTCCTGATGGTGGAGACATTCTGGCACTGTGGTGAAGCATTAACATCCTGTGAATTACGTGGGAGAGGCTCCCAGGCTGGGATGTGCCTCCCAAGTGCCTGGCTGGGCTCAAACTGCCACCACAGCACAGCCATTGCTGTGGCAGGAGCAGGCATGAGCCCAAGGTGCTGCTAGAGGCACTGCTGCTTACGAAGTGTGGATTTTCATGCATCATTAAGGCTTCGGGTACTTCAGATTAAAACTGAACGCAGCCAGTATGACCCTGACAGTTGGTTCTCTGGGTACAGTATCTTATTCACAGCACTTGTTTCAAGTGCAGAAGTGTCAGCCTGGGTACAATGGCATTTCAGTGATGTGTATTAGCACTGTTAATCAGATGAAGACAGCTGTGCTGCTGTGATGAAACACTTGCTTTTGGATTGCTCTGAGCAATATTCACACAATCCTAAAGAATAACAAAAAAGCAGACTGAAAGAATAAGATAAACCTCTGCTGACAAGTTACTCGGGAGCCAGTCTCATGTTCCTTTCTGAAGCCACACGGCCTGAACACGTGCAGTGAGATGGGCATCGAGCTGTGACCCACAGGCTGACGTTTGTGAGGCTTGGGGGCTGCAGGGCAGGAAGTGTGGGTAGGACAAGCCCACACCCCACCGGCTGGGGCTGGCTCCTCTCCACCTTGTCATCAGAGCTAAGGTGACACACGCAGTGCCCGGCTGGAGCACCGCCTGGAGCCAACACAGAAAGCGAGGAGGAGGGTGTGCTCGGGGATGAGGGTCACGCCGTGCTGGAGTTCAGCCTCACCAACCAACCACTCCTCCCCCCGGCTCTGCCCACCTCACCCTTCCCGCTAAAGCACGGGATAAGCTGACCACAAGGAAAGGAAACGCACTCCCCAGGGCGGCGGGAGCTCAGTGCCC